CATCCTCAGCTTTTGCTCACTAGAGCCAGCCCATGAAATGCAAACATTCAGTCAAAGAATAAAAGCTAAATTGAATCAAACTAAGATAAAACCTACAGCAAGCCTAAAAGCATTTCAATGAACAGGTCATTAAAATGCCTGGAAGGATAAAAAGTCACCCATTGTTTGATGAAAAATTCCTAACGTAGACCCCAGGTGGGTCATTCTAGGGAGGGCATTACACCAATAGGGTCCCACTGTAGCTATGGCATCCCTCAGCGGATTGCAGATGTCTCCAACCCATTACAGTGGCACCTTGGCGTACGAACGCTTCAGTTCACAACCAAATCGGGTCCCAAACAAAAAATTCATAAAAATTTTAACTCAGGTCATGAACTCCGCCTTGGGTGGCGACTGCAATCGCGGCCATCTGGGAGATGGCCGTGATCGCGCTGGGGGTGGGGGGAGAGATGGCCAAGATCACTCCCATCTTTCCTGCAGAAGCGCAACCGCGCTCTCGGCCATCTCCCCCTGCCAGCACGATCGCGCCCGTCTCCCCCCCAGTGCGCCCACATTCACGCCCGTCTCTTCCTCCCTCAGCGCGCAGGGATGATGGGCGAGTGCAGGGATGATGGGTGCGATCGTGGTTGTGCTGGGGGAGGCGTGGGGGGTAGGAGATGGCCATGATCTTTGTGGTTCTGTGTCACTTTGCTTCACATTTTTCTGATTTAAAAAAAGAGTTACAGAACGGATTAACCTTATTTACATTAAACCTTATAGGGAAATTTGACTTGGCTCATGACCAATTTGGGTCACGACCAGAGTCCTGGAACAGATTAAGTTCATGAGCCGAGGTACCACTGTACCATGGGTTGCCATGAGGCCTTCTTCATAACTTCTGGTTTAGAATCATGTCAGAATCAGAAAGTATCTGGTGATACGAATACAGAACACACGCTCTGAGTGATGAGTCTTCCTCAGCCAAAACCACATGATCCATGGATCTTTTAGCACAATCTTCTTGCTATCAGCAATCTAACCTTAAAGGAAGCGATCCAACCTTTCAGAATGAGGGGGAAATGTGCCAAAGCCAGGACACCACCAGGAGGTTGGTCACCAGAGGATGGAGGTGCAGCCAATGGCACAAGAATGCAGGCATGTAAAATTGGTTCCAGAGGCCACAGGATCAGCATGAGATGAATTTGGCAGCCAGCAGAAGGAACTGAACTTTCAGCAATAGCAGGGTGGGTCAAATCAACCCCTTCCACTAAAGCTTCTCTATTACATGAAGGAGGCCATGCACATGAACTGGTAGATGCATATGCATCTTTTGCATGGTCACCAAAGGCACGACCATGAGAGGGCAGGATAAGTGCATGAATGCTGAGCATGGTTAGCTGGCTCACCTCCAAATGTGCTTCCAATGCATTGCGGGGCGGGGGGGTTGAATGCAGAGTGTCTTGGGCTTACCATTATAGCTGACTGAACAAAGGACGTGGACACGCTTGACAAATAACACTTTTGGACCGACACACACAGGGGCCTTGGTTCAAATGACCTTTACCTGATGGACAATTTGTAAGCTTCATTGCACTCACACCTCTGAACTTTTCTGCTTGGGAATTTTCACTTCCCAGCATTCCAAACTGCCACTCCTGGTATCCAGTGAAGATCACACCCACTGATGAGGTCAGCAGCTGAAAAGTTTAGTGCTGAATCTATGTTGAAATCAGCCTGTCAAATCCACTTGCCTAAATCCTGTGTTTTGTGAATTGCCCGGTGTCTTTCATTCTGTGTCCACTGACAGACAGACTCAGATTGTTTTCACCAGAATTTCCTTCCAGGTGTGCCAGTTTGCATGAGTGCTAACGCAAATTGGTGCAAATGACCCCCGTAATTGAAAAGTCAATCCGTGTGACTTGAGAAAAGCCAGTGCACTACAGAATCTGCAGGCTGAATTTACAGACATGGGAACTCACTGGAACTGGCAGATTTCTCTAACATCCCTTGCGTATACGTGCATTTGCCAAAATAAAGAAGCTGTACAGTCAGGAGAGATATCATTTATTTCATAGGATCCATGGAACAAATGTTTCCATATGTAGACAGTGGATGTGCTGAGACAATGAAATGCCTGCAAGAGATGAGACCGCCAGAGACCCACCAGACTGTGGGACTGTCACAGCAACCCTGCAGCAACCCTGTTCTTAACATCATAGCACATTCGGGGTGAGGAGAGAATAGGACCTCCATCCGCCCTGCTGAGGTAGGCAAGCTCAACAATCAGCAATAGGTGAGGTGAGGGCATCAAGGCTGCGATCCTATAAACTCTCTCCTGAAAGAAGACTTGAAAGAAGTACCTGATCCTGCCTAATCTTGGAAGCGAAGCAGGGCCAGGCTGGGCTGAAATCTGGATGGGTGACTTGAGTCCTGCACTAAGCAGGCGTTGGACCTGGTAGGCCCCTTCCAGCTGTATGATTCTGTGATTCTGTGTCTAGGAGCTACTCATCTCCTGATCACAGCAGACACCTAAAGACAGGGTTAATTCAAGAAGTTTAAACACACGCCTGCGTCCAAGGTGCCTTGAGGTTCCATCTCCTGCTGGTGGACTTCCTGGAGACATTTGGTAGGCCTGAGGAGGACTGGTGCTAGTCGGCTCTGATCCAGCCACATGGCTCTTACCTTAAGTATCTATGCTTAGCAATGCACCTTTCCTGGATAAGAGGGAGCTGGGGCAATCCTGGGCATACTTAGGTGGGAACTCATTTCATGAAAACCAGCAGCAGGTGCGCATGGGCAGAAACTGGCTGTCTGTAAGCAAGCAAGCAGTAGGGCTTGCATTCCTTTAGTACAGCCTTCTGGGTAGGTCAGACTACAAACCCCATCATGCTCAGCTGGAAGCCATGCTTTCTGCAGATGAGAGGAGTTGTCACCATACCCTTCTAGAAGTTGGAGAAGGCTACTTTGCAGGGTTGCTCAGCTGCATGCAACAAGCTCTGTGTGTCCTTGGGCAAGCCAGACTCCAAGCGGCATGCCAAAGTCCAGTGATGGCGAACCTTTTAGAGACCGAGTGCCCAATCTGCAACCCAAAACCCAGTTATTTATCGCAAAGTGCCAACACTGCAATAAAACCTGAATGCGGAGGTTTTAATTCAGAAAAAACAACTCACTGCCTGTCCAAGAAAAAAAAATCCTTGGCAGAGCACTGACCCTCCATGCGAAAACTCAGATGAGTTGCAGCTAAGGAGTCGTGGCCTGTGACATCATCGCCTGGCGCCTCTACTCCTTTCCAAGCATGAGCATGGCCCCTGTGTGTGCTTTTTTCCAGTGCTCGGCTGCTGGGGCGATGCTGGGGCAACTTGGCTTGCGTGCCAGCAGAGAGGGCTCTGTTTGCCCGCTGTAGCACACGTGCCATAGGTTTGCCACCACTGCCATTGTTTATTGATCTCTTTGACAAGCTGAAAGGCTTGGTACAGATGGCAAAAAGGTTGCCATCTCACTCAGTCCTATGCAACTACAGAATTATACCGAACATGAAAAGTCAAAACTACACCTCCCTAAAGACACAATCTGAAAATAAGCCTTTGCATTTTTTTTTCTTTTCAGCTCAAGGTTTGAACAAGGTGGTAAACTGGGCCCTTCATTCCATTTCTGCTTGTAAAACATTGAAGGAGGAGAAGATGTTCTCTGAAAATGTTTGCCATTTCTCAAATGTGCACTTGCATCTGAAAAATATGCCTATTTTGGCAGGAAATAAAAATCACAACTGCTCAATTTAAAAAAAATGCATCATTTCATCCTGCAGTCTAGGAAATTAGTGCAACTCGAAAGGGTTTTTGCAGTGTTTCTACTTTTGGAGAGAGAAATTTCACCACAATTTTCTGAAAGGGCAACAGAAGAGCAATATCGGCAACTGTGTGGGCAGCTTGGCCCGCATTTGGTACCTCTGTATAGTATCATTCCAGGACACTGTGACGGTGGGGGAAGCAGGGCAGTTGGGGGGCTGTGAAAAGGAAAGTGGCCACCAGTCAAGTAGAATTTGAGGGGGAAAGCCTTCTATGAAATTTTGGCTCAAATCTAGTTGTTATTCTTCAAGTTCATCTTGCGCAGGACCTTGCAAAGGTAAACACTTTCAGGCAAACAGTGCATCCATTTTGCATGTTTTATGGACCATCATTTTCAGAGCCTTTGTATTCTGAAGACAGTCTGAATCCACTTTCACACTTGCATTCTCCCCAAATGGAGGATGGCGAGTGGAAACTCACAGATGGTGAAGACAAAGTTGGAACACTTCCAGAGTTCTTCCCATCTGAATTTCTTCCCAAAATGTGCTTGCAACCTGCCAGTTTGCTCTTTGTTCCGGCACCAATCTTTGTTCAGATTACTGAGCATAATTTTTAGCTCATGTCTTTTTTTCCTTCATAGGTTACCAATGGGTAGAAGGACAATATGTGCATTGTCACCCCTAAATAACTTGAATTGTGGTAAGTCAATTATACCAGGGATTCTGCTTGGTACTTCAAAGATCCACATCTCAGGCCCACAAGCCGCATATCTCCATTCAGTTTGCACATGCAAATTTATATTTATGTAGGCAAATTTGGAAACAACTATTAGGATTATTTAATATATTTAAATACCACAGAAGGTAAATGTAGTCAACTAATTTCTCATCCAAATCACCTCAAATAAAATAAGTTATTTAATTAATTTGCATCCCATCCCAAATCAGTAGTGGTTCTTCAATTATAATTAGTTTGCAATAGTGTAAAAAACCCTCTTAAAAAGTAGTTGCAGAGCCAGTGTCTCCTGGGCCCAGATCCAGCCACACCTCTAAATCATGCCAAGATTTGTTTCGGTGTAAAATTTTAATCAGTAGCAGGTATGTCCTCAGACCCATCCGTAATTTGTAAGGTGAGGAAGATGTGAACTAAAAATTACAGGAAGTTACACATTTGCCCATTTTCAAATTAGTTTTAGGTAGCCTGAAGTGCCTGATCCTGCCTAATCTTGGAAGCTAAGCAGGATCAGGCCTGGGCAGAAGTGGGATGGGTGACTTGAGTGTATGAGTCTATTGCTGTCAACTGCCTAGAAAGCTTTGGCTATAGGCAGTATAAAAATGTAATAATAATAATTCTAGGAGTTAAACCAGAAAACTGGCAGAATGGAATGCAGAGCAAAGCTAGCTTGCAGAAACTAGCAATTTGGAATGGGAACGATGGAACACCCGTTGATCCTCCAGGAAGTCTCTCAAATTCCTGTGCAACTGTTTTAAGTTTTGGGCAACACTACCAGAGTTGAGAGTTCATGTCACTGTACTGCAGTACAAATATATTCCATCCTTCCTGCAAAATCTTTAGAAAAATAAGTCCATTATATGCTTCTTCAAATAACTGCAAATATTAACCATTTCTTTTCTTCACCCTCTTCCTTTCTTTTTGGCTTTTTGCAGACATGCTTGCAAAAAACGATTCCACAGAACAGTGTAGAAAGCAAGCTATAAAGTCTCTCTTCAGAGAGTAATTCACAAAAAGCAAAACCAGGTGGGTCTTTCTAAAAAAAAGCACCTTGGCAGAATAATGTTGATTAAATGAAACAGCCCAGACAAAATAATGTTAAATATAAAGCTCTCTGCAAACTATCCACAGAATAATAGTAATTAAAACAAAACAAAATCTGGGAGGATCCAAACGACATGGTTTGGAAAGGAATGCAAATTTTCTGATCTTGGCTTTGTGCTCAGGAGCAGCAAAAGCTGGACGGGATGCACCAGAGGGGCTTCTTTTCCTTGAGTTGCTTGCTCAGTTTCAGTGCCGACCAAACAGCTTGGAAATGGCTTAGGATCTGTAGCAAGCTGAGCAGCCGATGACCTTGGAGGAGTTCAAGTGTGGCTGGATGACATCCAGTGCGATGGACTCCATTGGATCACTCTCGCTAGCAATGATATGTTTCACCAGGCACCTGGAGGCTTCATCAATGTTGATATTTTCCTGAAGTGGAGGGGATAAATAGAAGGTTAAAGATGATGCTGTTTCAATACAAATCTCACAGGTTCTCTGGTTCTGCCATAGAGCAGGGCTGGGACAAATTCTTTCAGAATCCATCCCTCCAGAATCTACAGACGCTTCCTGTGTTGAGCCTGGCCTTGCAAAGCGGGACAAGCCAAGAGGTGGTACATGAAAGCTCACAGATGCCCCTGTTGCACAGCCAGCAACCTTCCCCAGCTGCCACTCCTGGTGGTTAACCTCCTTCCCCAGCTTGATTCCAGGCAAGCACTCCTTGAACCCTGCACTGCGGCAGAGGAAGCTGAAACAAGGGAATCTGGTGGATTTCCTGAGCAAGACTGATTCTTCAATCATCCCTACTAGGGCGACAGATGCTCTTTTGACCTAAATGATGATGGCCTTTTAAAGACTTTAGTGGCTGCCATAAATAATCATAGCATTATTCCCAATTCTGTGCCAGTTGCATTTGATATATAAACAGGTTGCATATGAATGCCAACTTCAAAGGAGTATTTATCCGGATACGTGGTCTGCTTTTGCTGGAGTCTGTGCATAATTTCTAGAAAGTTGCATGCCGTTCATACAAATGCCCATATGTAATTCTCTTTAAAGAAAAGTGTAAAAAAATCATTTAAAAAATCAGGTGGCCATGGGCACCGCTTTGGGGAGCCCTTCATGGGTACTACAGGAGGTCCCTGAGGTATCTTGGTACCCAAACCATGTGTTGGGGACCCCAGGCCAAAGACTGGCACAGTACAGGGAACAGTGATGATGTACAACCAGAGAGAAATAAGTCTATCCGATGGCATTTGGAGCAGTCCTGCAAATTCCTCAAGTATATGGAAGGTTTTTCTGCCTGGGTGCCATGAAATGTCACGGAGAGAAAATAAGCTGAGCCGCCAAAGCCCCGCCAAAGTACAAGAGAGAAAACAGAGAGGCTGACGATCCAAAGTCTGTAGTAATTGAGTGCTACCAGGAGAAGTAGCTTTTGCTACCGAGAGTCTCCTGTGTGTGGCAAAGGTTCCAGGCTTAATTCCTGGACCCTCAGGAAGGAAAAGTCCTGGAACAAGTCTTGTCCCAAATTCTGCAGAGCTGCTACCAAGGACAATCCTGAACTAGGCTCTGGATTGGTATGAAGCAGCTTCTAGGCCACGTCAAGGGTTAGGACCACTATCTACACCAGGGGTCTTCAACTTCTTTCATCCCAAAGGTTGAATCTAATATTGGAGAAATTTTGGGGACCACTCCTGCAAAGGCAAAAGGGGTGCAGCCAGCTTTCTAAAACACCCCCATAGTGTGGCCTGATGCTCTCACCACCACCATTAACTAAGCCTAGAAGGAGAAACATTTCGAGCTTTAAGAATGGGGCAACACTGCACAAAAGTCAGGAAATTGCCAGATGTGACTGGTGGTTAGGAAATAGAGGGTGGACCTGGGAAGACCTGGACTCCAGGCAGGTCAGGTTAGGGCTCAGAAAGCCTGATTTGCACACGGGTTACAAGCGATTTGCATGCAGTTCCAAGGAATATTCCAGCAACTCCTTGGAAATTATTCTTAAATATTTATCCTGCTTACAGCAACCAATGCCAACATATAGATAAAGGCACAATTTTGATTAAAAGGTAAAAACAAATAGGTGAAAAACGCAGCTAAAACACCACAATGAACTGGAGAAAAGCTACACCCAACCAGCTAAGAGCCCCCTTCGGCAACACACTTAAGTATTGCAGATCAAGTCTATAACATTCGCTACATTTTCATCCTGCCTTCAAAGTTCCTCAAAGCAGCATAAATGGTTCTCTTCTCCCACTTTTCCACACAACAGACCTGTGAGGTAGGCCAATTAGCCTGAGCTTCTTAGCCATATGCAATTTTCTATCAGTCTACTCAGAAACAAGCCCCTTGTGGTCTACTTCCCTAAATATGCCACAGCCAAATACCCTTACAATCAGGTTAGGCTACGAAGCCTTCCTCTGTTATTTGAGCTAGACCTGTTGTGTTCCTTCCTGCTTAGATACTTTATCTGGGTTTTTACAGCCTGCTTGGATCACCTTCCCTTGGCAAGACCACAGGGCAGCTTCTTGGCATCACATGGTCACCTGCCCCCAAATCCTGAGCTCCACCAGTGATCAGAAGTTACCCTATGGGGAAAGAATATTTATTCAATGTCTCCCAGTTCTTTTGACACCACACACCAACCGCCGCCTGTTCTCCTTCATTTCCCACAAGCTAACTCTGACTTGCGTCCACAAACCATCAACTGTCACCCCTGAATTGTCATTTCTCACCTTCTCTTTCACACCTTGTTAGAATTTAGAGGCAATCAGAACTGAATTTGCTTGAACCAGTCCCCATCTAACCAGATTCAAAGCAATTCTCTTCCGCATCATCAGAATGTCACTCTGCAGCTACTACACAGTCCTTTGACAGAACCCGAACAAGTCCTCATGTCTATTCTGATACCTTATTGCCTCACAGAAGCCACGTCAAATATGTATTCTAGAATTGCAATACGAGTTCTACAGAGGCATTTCTCCATGGCAGGTAATGCTAAATAGCAAGCAATACTTTCAATCAATCAAAACAACACAGTCTTTTAAAAAAAGGCAAAAAGGAGATAAAACATGAAAATAATTAAATAGTTTGAAAGGGAAATTAAATAGACTAGCGAGAGAAATTAAGAGCCCACCAGAATAAATAAGGCATGCTTCCCCCCATCTGCTGCTCCCCTGTGGGCTGTGGATGATGGGAGCTGATCATCTGGTTGGCACATGATGAGACAACGGGAGAAAATCAACAAGCAGAATAGGGCATTTCATATCCTGGGCAGAGCCACAGTGAGACTGTGCACAGTGAGACGTCTGTTGTGCATTTCCACCACATGCTCATCAGGCGCATGTGGGGTTCACAGAAAAGCCCCCTCAGCTGAGAGCAGAATGCAGGCTGGAGCATCGTCAGCCAGCAAACTTCATGTTGCTCTGAGCTTTTGCTATGTAGTGTTTGAATACTCGGACAAGGGCAGCTTCAAAAACAAACACTTACAACCAGTGCTTTTTTTGTAAAAAAAAAAAAAAAGGTGCCGGAACTCACGTCTTGGGGTCACACTTTTACACAATGGTTGCCGCAGGCAGTAAGCACTCAGCGCATGACCACACGACCGATCCCAAGCCGAGCAGCGTTCCAAGCCGAGCAGCACCCTCACAATCAGCATCAACAATCAGCGCTGACACACAAGCAGCCTGCAGGCACTAGGTTAATGATTTCTGCTGCCGACCTGCTACGTCCAACAGGGCGATTCACAATCACTTGAAAAAATCTGTCAAAAAAGGGTGCTGGAACGCTGTTCCGGTGTGTTCTATGACAAAAAAGGCCCTGCTTACAACCCCCCTCGTGTTTGTTTAAAGAGAACAACTGCTCTAAGGAGCAAGATTGTCCGATTGCTAGCCCAGCTCCCATGGGTGCTTCCTGAGGAGAGGTTGCAATGATGTGGCTGCAGCTGGGATGACGGTCCATTCCAAAGGCAGCCAGTGTGGAGTCGTGCTTAAGACTGGGGCTGGGATTCCGGAGATCTGGGTTCTAGTCCCTGCTCCACCATCGAACTCCATGGGTGACTACAGACTTTCCTCCCAAGCTACCTCACAGGGTGGCTCTTATGGAGAGGAGGAGGAGAATTATGGAAGCTGTCTTGAGTTCTGGATACTTCAATTGGTACAAAATAGGGCTGCCAGGTTGCTGATGGGGACTGGCCATTATTCTCATATTACACCGGTCCTCTACCAGCTTCACTGGCTCCCAGTTGAAGTCCAGGCCCAATTCAAGGTGCTGGTGTTAACCTATAAAGCCCTAAATGACTTGGGACTGGGATACCTGAAGGAACGCCTCCTCCCCTATATGCCCTTAAGATTGGCAGGGGAGGCCTGGCTCCAGGAACCCTCCTTGAAGGAAGTACAGAGGGTGTCTATCCGGAGGAGGGCCTTCTCTGTGGTGGCGCCCAGACTATGGAATGCACTCACCAGAGAGGTCCGCCTGGCACCGACCCTACTCTTTCCGGTGCCAGGTAAAGACTTTTTTATTTAACCACCATTTTAATAATTAACATCATTAATTTTAATAATATTATTAATTTTATACAGTCACATTTTCATTTTCTTCTTTCTTTTTCTTTAGTTATGAAAAAGATATATTGCTGTTTATTTTGCTTTATTGTGGAATGTTTCAATGATATTTATATTATTATATTGTTATTTTTATCTTCTGTAAGCCATCCTGAGGCTTGTTGCAAAGGATGGCACAGAAATGTTTTAAATAAATTAAATTAAATTAAATTAAATTAAATTAAATTGAGTTCCCTGAAAGAAAGAAAAGCAATGTGGGATATAAATATAATTAATAAATAAAACAGTCTACTGAAAAAGGTGGCTTCCCTCATGAGACCTATGGGGTTGCCTTTTTTCTTTTTCTTTTTTTTTGGTACAAAGTCCTTAGAAAGTATGGCTATACTGTATGCTATTTAACTGCAAATTGAAATGAAAAGGATGGAGTTGACTGAACATAAAGCACATGGGGAAGTGGATGCACTGGCACTAGACTCATCTGTCCCTACATAAATCTGATGAGAGGGACATCATTTTATTGAATATCCCTCCAAGAAAACTCAGGACGCTCTTTAGAATTCATTGCCAGATCTTGTCTGCATTTTTCATCCTGCTTCAAGACAAAAGAACAACACTAATGTTCAGAGCTCTTCGGTGCAGGATCTGAAATAAATCTCTTCATGGCCAGCTTTCTTGGATGACATAATGTACCCGCATTTATTTTGGTGGCCTTTTCCCACTTCCACATCATTTTAAAACATCTCTGGCCATGGAAATCATTTAGGGTTTATGGAAAAGAAACTGGACAGCCATCTGAGTGGGATGGTGGAACGTGGTGTCGTGCAACAGCAGGGGGTTGGACCTGGTGGCCTTCATGGCCCCTTCCAACTC